TACTATAGCCAAGGAAAGTACAATGAATCAGAGCCGATTTTTCGCCGTGCATTGGAGGGATTTCGGAAGATTCTTGGACCAGATCACCCAAACACCATCGCAAGTTTCAATAACCTGGCTGTAGTGCTGCATGGCCAAGGAGAGCACAACGAATCAATCGCGATGTATCGGCGCGCTCTGGAGGAGTGTGAGAAGATCCTAGGACCAGACCACCCACGGATCCTAGCAATTGTCAACAACCTTGCCTCTGTGCTGCGATCCGAAGGAAAGTGTACTGAATCAGAGATGATGTATCGGCGTGCACTAGAGGGACACGAGAAGACATTTGGACCAGACCACCCACACACACTATCAAATCTCGAAAACCTAGCCTCTTTGCTGCAATGCCACGGAAAGTACAATGAATCAGAGACCATGTTTCGCCGTGCACTGGAGGGATGCCGGAAGATTCTTGGACCAGATCACCCAAACACCCTCGGAAGTGTCAATAACCTGGCTGCAGTGCTGCATGACCAAGGAAAGCACAACGAATCAGAGACGATGTATCGGTGCACACTAGAGGAACAAGAGAAGACCCTAGGACCAGACCACCCACGGACCCTAACAATTGTCAACCACCTTGCCTCCGTGCTGCGATGCGAAGGAAAATATGAGGAATCAGAGACGCTGAATCGGCGTGCCCTAGAGGGAAACGAGAAGACCCTTGGACAAGACCACCCAAGCACCTTAACCTGTGTCAAAAACCTGGCTTCTGTGCTGCGACACCAAAGAAAGCACATAGAATCAGAGGCTTTGTATCGGCGTGCACAAGAGGCACACGAGAAGACCCTGGGACAAGACCATCTGGACACCCTAGCAAGTGTTGAAAACCTAGGTTGTGTTCTCCAAGACCAAGGAAAGTACCCCGAATCAGAGACGATGCATCGGCGTGCACTGGAGGGAATAGAGAAGATCCTTGGGCCAGACCACCCACAGACGCTGGGGACTGCCAACCGCCTAGCTTCTGTTCTGAACGACCAACAAAAACACAACGAATCAGAGGCGTTGTATCGGCGTTGCCTCGAGGGATTAGAGCAGGTTCTGGGACCAGACGACCTCGACACCCTAACAAGTGTCCACAATCTGGCTCTTGTACTACAATCTCAAGGAAAGTACACCGAATCAGAGACGATGCATCGGCGTGCGCTGGAGGGCCGTGAGAGGATTCTTGGGCCAGACCACCGATCCACCCTGTCGAGTGCCGATAGCCTGGCTACGCTGCTGAGATTACAAGGAGAGCGCGACGGTTCAGACACGGCAGAACCGAGTGCACGTCAGTCACCCCCGGGAAACCCGCAGGATAACCGGCACCAATATGCGCGCCGCATTGTCCATTATTTCCAGAGGAGAGCAGTTTTCCGCAAGGGCGATAGACCGGGCCCGTGATTCATCATATTGCAGGTAGTTTGTTTGCACGAGAGTTGAGAGGAGTGGGTTACTAGATACTACTGGTGTGGGAGGCCCCCAGAATCTGTGGGGGAATGGTGGTAGACGGTTTGGAACGGTTAAGGATTGCGAGGGAGAGGCCATGGATAGCAAGCTGTTGACGTGTACGAGATCAGTACTGGGGGGAATTATTGGGCGTTTTGGTCTTCTTTTTGTGCCTTATTTTCTCGTTTCATTCCTCTTTTTCTTATATAATGGTTCATGTCTAATTGGAAGTGATGTAAATTATGCCTTCTCATACGATAACCTGCTTGTAGTCACTCTTTTACCACTCGAAATCATAATAAGTCACTCGCCCGTTGCCATTCACCCCGATACCACAAATACGAATATATAATCCTCGTTATCCACTAGCTTCCCATGACCTACCAGCTTGCTGATTTCCTACCGGGTCTCTTCGTGCCCTGAACAGCTCTATATTCCGAGACCTAAGATGAACCTGTGGTACACTCGTCAACCTCGCTGCTATATCCTCCCTAAGTCAACCGGACTATGAATCACCGCCAGCCTACCTCCTCCCTGCGGTATTGATGACCTGCTCATCAGGAACACTGCAGAACACTCCAACACTCTAACACGTGCCATCAACCGGTCTACACTCTTGCGATATCTAGGATAGCCCGGTGGGTTGGAGACAGTGGGTTCTTGTCCGGCGCATTTCGGAGCATTGGTGCTCTACTGCGGTGCCATCTGTTACTCGTGCCTTGAGAATTTAGCAATTATTCCTTCTATTTTCTCCACCCGGATGACTAAATATTCAGGACCCCTTTACCGGTGAATATATAACCGGTAGTTACCTTCCATGTTGACAGGATATGGAATAGAAGTCAGAAATCTAGCAGCGATATGCCGTGAGAAGCAAAGTAGTATTGGGAAGAAATGAGCAGTAATGCTTAGAATAGAAGCGAGTAGTAAAGGGATGGGACGAGGGCAGGGAGAGGAAGGTGGACGAAAAGAGGGCCAGAGGAGAAGGAGTGTAAAAGCTTATCTGATTTGTTCGCATGGCGTCATGGGATTATCTGCTCCCCGTTGGCGGATCGGGCGGAATGGGCATAGCGACAGATCAGCAACCGGGATGCATTCCAG